CACATAATCATAAATATTTATAGTTGGTTAAAATATATATTTTCTCTGTTATTAAGAATATGATTTAAATTTTGATAATATATATTTTTTGATTTGCATGATATGTATAGAACATGAGAATTATGATATAAATTGACTTCTACTGGTTTTATGATCTACGTTAAATAGTATTTTAAAGTTTAACGGATTACTAATTAAAATTTAAATATTTATTTCATTAATTTCTATAGTATTTACCCGCGTATTAACGCGGATCCTATTCTAGTAGATTTGTAATTGTTCATTCCATAAGATACCCTTGTACTTAACTAAACGATCAAACTTCTAATGCAATGTATAAATTCGCAGAAGGAGCAAAAACAAGGGAAGATCAATTCCGTGCTGCTCCACATGAAGAGTTGTTCAGGGCTTGAGATTGAGGACTCGTTTGTTCATATCGAAAAGATAATCGAGTCGAAAAGGAAAGAGTTTTTGGAGCATGTACTAGTTGACGGACTAAGTGATTTACCCAAATCGTCAAAAGAGATTCACATATCTTGTTGTAAAGTCTTCGAGATGTTCTTCAACAAGAAGAACCGTTATGATTCCGACACAGAGATGCTTCAAGAGATTAAGAAGGCTCTCTACGATCCCGTGACTGTTTATAAACTCACAGAGATGGAGCCTATACCATCCATGGGACATGATGATGAGTTTATGATTCTTCCTCTGCTTTTTAACATTTCACCAAAGATTCTTGAATATAAGAGGAAGGACCATTACGGGGCAGCGAAAACATCTATGTGCTTGAGACGAAGTTTTCATGCTCATAAGCACGTTATTGCCTCAAAGCTTGTTGATCAATGTAAGCCTCTCAAGATTGTTGTCTCGCAGAGGAAACCGGTAACAATGAAGCCAACGATATTCTCACCGTGCTTCTACTAATTTATCTCTTATCTTTCTATGTTATGTATGGTGAATTATATTTACATGTATTGTTATACTTTTGTGCGAATTGTTAAGAAATTGTAGGTGTGTGAGTACTTTGAAAGATTTATAATCGATTTATTTCCAAAATGACTTGCTAGTTGTATTAATAAAAATAGGGAGGTTTACTAGAATGACCTTGTCAAGCAAAGATTTGGACTAGAATGACCTCTATCTTTGAATATTATTAGAATGACCTTGAAAAAATTTTA